TGATTTATCACTACCTTATGGTAAATGGATGCCAACCATTAGTTTTTTTCACAAATGGCATTGGTTGGAGATCATAGGAGGTGTAGATTGACTTCTTAATGATTAATGGTACTAAAAATATTTGTTGGTAGAAGTAACATGCAAGTTATACCACTTTCATGGATTAGTTTATGAAAAGGCTTCCAAATTAGTTGTTACTTGCAAATTATCAATAAAATAATTGTCGGTAAATGGCTTGAAGGCTTGGATATATAAGGCCTTTTCAAAGCCTTGTTCTTCATCTCTCTCTCTCTTTGACCTTTGATTTGAGCCTTTGGTAAGGGAGGCCTATTGAGGCACCAAAGAGCTGTTGTGTTTTTATTGTAATAAACTTATATTATAAGTTGTTTGTTTTATAACCATGCTGGTCCTCTTAAAGCTCATTGTTAGTAGGATTCTTTTTTTAGTTAGATATGTTCATTGTATAGGGGGAAAAAATCAATAAGATTGGGTGAAAGAATCATGAAATTTGGAGTTGAAATGGAAAAGTTATAATGGTTTGAAATTGACAGTGGTATTGTTTCCATTTAGTAGTGTTGTTCTTCATCCAATTATGCTATTTTCATCCAATTGCGTTATTCCATCTAGTTGTTTGTTCTCTCTTTTTTTCATCTTGCTACTTCCATTTTATAATTTGTATCTCATTCTTCTCTTCTCTTATTTATTTTTTATCACTTATTTTAAGTTACATCAAATGGTAATCATTTCTTGGAAGATATTATTTAGAGACTTGGAATTATAATCATTTGATTAACTAACTAACCATTAAAGTAATTACACAATTAGTTTCTACTATCTTTTAAACTTGTTGTATAGTTATTTTTCTTCTTAAAGTAAATAGGGAGGATTTTTGGCTCACAGAGCATTTCTAGATAGAAATGGATTTATAAACCCATTTTGAATAAATCCATAAAGATATTGGAAGGTATGTAATCTTAAATAGAACTTAATTTATTGTAGAAATCCTCAAAATTTTAATCTTATTCCATTAAACTTCTTAAGCATACTAATCTTTGTCCCCATTGTACTTACAAAAGTAAAACTTCTTGGATTTGGTTGTAAGGTTGATGTACTTACTTCCTTCAATTGCACAACTTCAAGATATAGACTTTGAACTTTGTCCATGGATATAGGATTAATGTTTCTATAGTTGGCATTGATAATGCCAAAAAATTCTATCCAAAGAATATTGAAAAATTCATAAAAAATTACAATAGTTACAAATCTATTCTCACTTTTACTAAATATAGCATCTATGATTATTCCTTCCATTTCAAATAACTTAATAAATCTACAAATAATATTAAAAGAAGATAATTTATAACCTCTAATATCAAATAAAGATTTCTATAAAAAAAAGTAATATACTCTCTTAAAAGAAAAAAATTAATGTTAGAAAATTAAGTAATTTGTTTAAAGGTAGTTAATCTGCTCTCTTTAAAATAAAAAAATAGTATTAAAAAACTAAATAGCTTTTTTAAAAGTGAATAATTTGTAACCTTCAAAATACAAAAATAAAAGTAAGATAATCCATTTAGTTCTAAAATAATACAAGACCAATAAATTAGCGCTCTTGTCAAATTATCAAGGACATGAATTTCAAAAAAACAAATCTCAGTACACTCTTATGTACTTGAAAAAATTACAAAATCATTGAAAGATGGTAATATAGTGAATTAAAATAGCTATTGCCAAAAATAAGAAGATTAGAAATCCTTGAAGCAAGACTAAAGACTAAAAAGGCATTGATAAAAGTGAAGAAGGCTTCACTCTTGTTTCCATATATCTTTTCTAACTAAGAGCCAGAAGGCAATATTCTATAAGATTTCCAATATGTATTGACTTATGGTTTCAAAAGTCACTACATATTAAACATTAGTGACTTTTGAAACCATATTTTGTTTCTTTTATTTGGTATTTAGGACATATAATATAAAAATCTTATTAGAAAAAGGATTAGAAAAGAATTTTTGTGTGAAAAAATGATAGTTAAGCCAAATATATGGATGAATGGAGATGGATGATAAAAATCTCTTTTCTTATTAGCCAAAAGTTATGTCCAATGGGCTTCAAGGAGGCTACTTGAGGCCTTATTAGGAATTTGGGTTACTTTTTTGAAACCATTCAAATATCAAAGGTTATGATTATTAAGTTTAGAATTTTGGATATGGTTTTGGTGAATATTTTGTATGATTTGGAGATTTTATGAATGAGATATAAGCACTTAAAGACAAGGTGTCAATTTTGTACCTACTGTCACTCTTTAGGGCATAATACACGCACATGAAGGACTTTTCAGGATCAGATTGTACAATGGAAAAGTTGATTTAAAGGAATACATTTTGCATGCAAAATGGAAAAAGTTTGAAGTTGATTTGGAGGAAAAATGACTACTTGAAGACATTACTTTTAAATTAAGCTTAAGAATAAATTCTACATTATATAGAAATTTGAGAAAAATTGAACAATTAGATAAAGAGATATGAAATTCTAAAATTGAGGGAGAAAACATCCTTTGTGGGAGAAAAATGTTTTGAAAGGATTTTGCTATAATTTGAACATTTTATGCAAAGTAAAGGAATTTTTGGAAGTCGAGACTTTATATATATGTGAAAGATGGAGATAAAGAGTTATGATAAAATTATGATATAAATATGAATTTTTGAAAGGAAATTATGGATTTTCTTTGAGCTTATTGGATATCTAACTTATTAGCAAATGATTAATTATGATTTGGTATAAAAAAGGATGTTAGAAAATTTTCAAGTACTCTCGAAAGTTTTATGTACCAACCTTATTAAATATAAAAGGTTTTTATTAATAGAATTTCTTTTGATATTGTTGCCTTTACTTGCCCTCTGTTATAAGAATAAATCATCTATTGGAGCTTTGTCAATAAGTTAAAGCTAAACTTTCTATAGTTGGATATCCAATGTATTTTCAAATAGAAAAATCATGTCATATGACATGTATCATGTAGCTAACTTGTTGATCAAGTTTTTAATCTACTAATTAACTACAAACATATATAAAGTCAAACCAGCATTTATGAAGCTTCTAGGAAGTTTTTCTAAAAGATATTATAAAATTAATCTATTTTTACTTACTTCTACTTAATCATATAAATAATTATTAGAGTATATATATATATATATATATATATATATATATATTTGTGATACCCTATTACAAAGAACAACTACAATTCATAATAGGTGATAAGGTATGGTTAATTTGTCACAATATCAAGTCTACTTATCATTGTAATAAGTTGGATTATCATAGGCTTAGACCTTTTCCTACAAGTGAAAAAAGTCAATCTTGGTGCTTATTGATTACATCTATTGTAGTCTATGAAGATCTATCTCGTATTCCCCATATCTTTTTTTGAGCCATATAAGATAATGAATATTTCAAGAATAGCTACCTCTTCCTATAGAAGTGGATAATAATCAAGAGCTAAGGTAGAAGAAATCTTAGATTTAAGGCAATGCCAAAATAGATTGAAATAATTGTTTATCTATGAAATAATCTTTATTTTTTAAAATCATTTAATTAATAATATATATAGTTTAAAAATATATATTTAAAAATTATATATTTATGATTTTTTAAAATAAAAATAAAACAAATATATAAACATATTATACAATAAACATATTTATAATTCTAAAGGTAGTCTTTTTTTTTAAAATGTGCTATCAATATTTTTAAAAAATATATTATGATATATTTTGTAAAAATATAAATTGATAATATAAATTTTAAATTAAATATTTAATTAATTAATAATTTAATAAAATATTTACTTGTCTTCATTGAGTATTCATCATCATAATTAATACAACAATAAATTTACACTTCTACTCATAAATATATAAGTAACTCACCAAATAAAAGGAATGATCATTCTATTTCCTCTCTTCAATTTATAATTAGACATTTCTTCAATTATCAACTTGATATCTAGGCATCTCCAAAAAAAAATTAAAACTTAAATACAGATAGATAGATCCACTAAGCATCGTTTTAATTAAAAATAAGGCAAGGAACTATTTTATAGATGGAACACTAGACGTTCATACAGTGGCTTGATTGTCCATGAGTCTAAAGGTAGAAATTAAGTGTAGCTAGGATAACCGATCACTTTTTGTGTCAAACCAGAAAGATGCTTCAAACTGTTAAATGGACGTTGTTTTAGATTAATCGAGATAGGAAACCCCTCATGCCGTTTGAGTGTCTGGCCACAACTGCAAACGTAGATGTTCGGCACTGTGCTCCGACGGAGAAAACGAGTTGCACAGCTGCCTGAAGAATATTAACATGGTATCGTGGCTACTGAAATGGTTACTACTAATTGTAGGATTGTGGCTGGCGCAGGACCTGGATATCGGGCAAAACACAAAAACATCCTTCACGGAACTTCTGAAAATTACAAACAATAAAGGAATGAAAAACAAAAGAACCATACATATGCAACCAGATCAAAAGTATTCTGCGAAAGTCTAATTATAGATGTGATAGACTGGGGGGTCATGACTTCACATTTGATCCGCACCTCTGGTCACGACATGGGAAGTCCGTATGCAAAGCACATAAGTGATCTTGAGAAACCAAATATATTAATTAGTGTCAAGGCAATCCTCCATGTCTGTACAATTATACATCAGCATAAACAAGACCTACAATTCCAGGGCAAGACTGTGTCTTCACAACAGGTAGGAATTTGGTCCATGCTGCTTTGCTCTAGAAGTTCCAATAGCATACAGGCGGTGTGCATGTCTCACAACTCACACCAGATGAATAAATCAACAAAACCGCCATCCCACACGTTCGCTAACCGAGACACTAAGCTTGCAGCAACTACGGCGAGTCAGAGGAAAGTTCTGGAAAGACACGCTTGCGATAGCTAAGACAAAAGTAACATCTCCACGCATAAGTTGACTACAAAAACAAGCAAATGAAGAAACTTAGGCTGCACAAATTGTAAGAGGTGTGCCTCATCATTTGAGATTAAGGATAGGAGGTGAAACAAATATTCTGAACTGCCTGGCTTGAACTGCGCCAAGCATGCAATCCACTCACAGGCCTTCAAAATAGCGGATGTGGTCATCCAATTGCTCAGCGTGCCTAATCTTCTCTACAGTCTTACCATCGTCTGCCACCCAGTATTCAGGAGGTCTCATCCTCAAGTTATATGTTGAAGCCATTGCCATACAGTATGCACCTGCATCATGCACGACGATCCCATCTCCACGTTTCGGTGTAGGTAATTCACGCTCCTTGCCCAAGAAGTCCGCAGATTCACAAACAGGCCCGACGACATCAAAAGTCTTCACTTCTGCGCCCTCAGCGGGGGGAGCGACAAATTCTATATGTTGATAGGCACCGTACAGACTAGGCCTGATCAGCTCTGACATGCTTCCATCAATGACAATAAAGTCCTTCGTTCCATTCGTCTTCACACCAGTCACATGGCTCACGAACGCCGAGGTGTTGGCAACTAGAGACCTCCCAGGCTCAATGATAAGCGTTAAACCTTCTTTTGTCACCAGGTCACGAACTGTGTCAATGAGATCCGTCGGAGTGGGTAGGATGGCGCCTTTGTGGTAGTAGTCAATGCCAAGGCCACCTCCAATATTCAAGTACTTAATTGTGAAGTTCTCGCCACGAATTTTTTTCACAAAATCAACCATCACAACTGCTGCATCTCGAAACACATCAACCTTCGTAATGGTTGACCCAAGATGACAATGCACTCCCACTAACTCAAGATTCTCAGAGTGCTTCTTCACTTCCTCCAGAAACCACCCCAACTTCTCATTGCGAATTCCAAATTTCGAATTCTTGTTACCGGTTGCAACGTACGGATGCACCTGGGGATCAACGTCAGGATTGATGCGCAGCAACACCTTAATTCTTTTTCCAGTGTTCCTACTGGCCTCGATAATTTGTGCCAGGTCGAATTCACTATCCACGTTGATAAGCACACCATACTGAGCCGCGAGTTCCAACTCCTCCAAGAGCTTCCCATTCCCATTGAAAACACACCTGGCGGGATCGAAGCCGGTATGCTCCACCGCAAGACGCAACTCGGTGCCACTCACGAGCACAGCACCGCTTCCGAGCTCCCGCAAGCACCGCATGATTTTCAAATTGTTGTTGGCTTTCACGGCGTATCCAATAATGGAGTTCAATCCCTTCAACGCCTCCTGGTAAGCCTCGTAGTTCCTCCGCAGCTGCCTCTTGCTGTACAAATAGAACGGCCGCACCTCCTCGACCTCGTTGTCCATGATGTCCTGCACCCGCACGTCCTCGCAGTACATGTAGCCATCCTCTCGGACAGAAAAGGCAGAAATCTGCGATGCTACCTGCTTGGCTTCCTGCTGCTGCACCGCAGCGAAGTCCGACACCGCCGCTCTGCAACCCCGAGCCGCCGCCGCCTTCCCCTGCTTGCTGCTCTGCTTAGAACTAATCCTCAGCTGATGCCCGGCATTCTCCACGCGCAAGCTTCCTGAGGACCTCAAAAGACAGGCAGCACTGGAGGTTCTCGTCGGGCACTGCACATTGCTCAAAGACGGCACAACGGCAGCTCGCATCTGCGTCGCGTGCATGGCTTGAGCGGCCATCGCGAGCAGCCAGAAATTGTGAGTGCGCTACACAAATGCGACCGCGACCCGGTTCTGCCCTTCCATAACATGCTAAACCCTAAAACCAATGGACCCTTTCACACCGCCCGTTGGATGGGTGAGGAGAGCATCTCCCTGTCTCTTGGATGTACAGAGGTTGGCGTAATTGTCGTGGATGAGTTTGAATATGGATGAGGAAAATAAATTCATCCAGTATCAACATTGGATCCCAGCTTGTACACAAAATAATTTAATTTTTTGTTTTATATTTTGTTACATATTAATTTTGATATTAGATTGAGATTAGTACTTCGAATTTTTCTTTTTTGTGGTAGTAGTAGTAGTAGAATTCAAAATCAGATTTGTCAAATAATCGCACTCAATTTGATGATTATTTTGTCCCCTCCTTTTGCTTTTATTGGGTTTTATTGGGTTTTTTTAATTTTAATTTTGAATGGCTATTTTAAATTTTTCATCTTTGGTTTTTTTTAAAGTTACAATATACATACTATTTTTAAATTTTATTAAAAATATATTTAAATCTTTCATATTTTCTCAGTATGTGAGGATTGCACATCATAATGCCACCAATATCAAAAAATATAATATAAAATAAGAACAAATTAGTATTACTCATCAATTCAAATTTTGCATCTTATACTGTTACATTTTGGAATTACATAATCATTTGCCTGTAAAGTTATACTTGTAGTTTTTTCACTGTAATTTAGTAACACATTATTTATATTATGTGTGTTGTATGCTATTTAGATTATTCCTAGTATTTGAAGCAATACGAAAAATTGAATTACCATCTCCATGTTTTTAAATAACAGTAATTTGATATTAATTTTGAAAAGCATTCTATGTTACATTTAGATCATCAAAAATTTAGAATATTTTGAGAGAAAAAGGTTCATTGAAATCCTAATATTTAAAAATGCTATTTAAAATCTCCAACAATATTGTTCTACTTGTATAGTGCAGCATAAAACAACGACAAAAAATTACAATGTGTGATTAAAAATATCAATAATATATATATATATATATATATATATATGTGGAATTTTAGAAACCAAATAACAGCATTGAGATTAGGTGCTTTTTTTATAAAATATTTCCTTTCAAAATTTCAAAGCAAAAGTTAAGAAAACATTATTATTATTATTATTATTATTATTGCTATTATTATCAATATTTGAAAACTTAACTTAAAGATTACTTTGACAAGGATATTTAAAAAATTAAATATAATTTTGGAGTATTTTGAACAACAGAAAAGATAATTATAAGAAAGGTGATAAAAATTAGACCAAATGCATCCAGAATGTTCAATTTTGTAGATGATCAGAGACCAAATTATTTCTTATTTTTTAATAATTAGTTTATGATATTTTTATATTAAAATAATAAATTTGATTACTTCAAATAGTAATAAATTATATATTTATGCAAGTAAATACTAGCAATGGGGACTTTTTCTGTGTTTTGGGAGTACTATGTTGAAGTGAGGTAACGGTGTAAAATAACATAATTTACTGTAAGTAATGTAGTGAAGAAACACACAAACATACTTCATTAAATACTACACAAAAATCAGATTAAATTTAAAGTAATAAAAGATGTACATGAAAAACAAATAAAACTTCAAATTACATACATAAATAGGAACAATAACACACATAATTATAAAACTGCAATGCAAAAGAGATGTAATATGCAACTACATTATTAACATAGTTTTGGTTTGTGGTATAGTTTTAGAATACTACAAACACATCCAGACTTTGTTATACAAATAACTTATTATAAATTATATTTTGAATACTAGCCTTTTCAATATACTATACATTTTATCTTAGAAACAATTATAAGTTAAATAAATTTAAATAAATTTATAATATAATATTCACAAGTTTAAATTTATATCTATGAACAATATTATTAATATTTGAGATAATAGAAAATTTCAAAAATAAAATAATTTATTAATATTTTTTATTAGCTCAAATTTTACATATAGTTATACCTCCCTAAGTTGATCTCCTATACCTTGATTTCTTTTTTTTCTTTTTTTTTTAATGCTATTAGGTTTATAGAGGAACTTCAAAACTCAATAACCTCCACTACTCAATAAAATTCTTAGCTATGGATCATTTTGACTAAGAGAGGTACAATTCTCTCTCTCTCTCTCTCTCTCTCTCTCTCTACATATATATACATACATAGTTTGCACATATATTTATGTGATTTTATAAATCAACTAATTATAAATAAAAATCTATTTTATACACAATTTCCAATTACATATACTTATGTTGAATTTAGAACTCATCTAAATTGCACTTTCATTTATGCATGAGTAAGAATTATTTTATTTTATTTTTTTAATCGATTCCGACCATATTTTCACATCCAATCAGGCTAACTCCGATGCCTCATTCAATTGGAAGAATGGATTTGATCTTTCAGTAGTCTCAAATTGACCTTAACCTTGACTCTTGATGCATATCAGCATCTCCTAGTCATCAATAAGGAACTTTTACGATCTGTGCAATTTGGGAAGAAAAAAAAAAGAAAAAAAGAAAAAAAAGTTTAATAGTTCATTGATGATAGTGGCAAGGAGAATCAAACCTCAGATTGTGAGCCTCAATGGCTGCTAACAATCAATGGGTAACAAGTTTAGTCGGATACACCAAAACTTCATTGTTTCGGTTTACAATGTACCCGAGAATAATTTTCTACAGCACCAAAATATCCTGAAAACCATTGCGAATCCCGAACCCTTGCAAGTCGAGATGGAAGTACCATGCCACTACGGTACAGATGTGACAAGTTCCAATAACTGAGTCCGAGTAAATAATGACAGGAAAACCTCGGGGAAACGCACATAATGCAAACAGAAACTCAAGTACATAGTAGACGATTACGAACCTTGATTAAGGATCGAAATCCCCGACAACACTCTTCATGAATGTAATCGATCAAAATTTTACTTACAACTGCAGAACCTGCTCTCTACACGTACTATCATTACAGTATTGTTGTTGTTGTTGTTGTTTTTGTTTTTGTTTTTTTTTTTTAATCAAGGAAAAAAAAAAAAAAAAAAAAAAAAAAAACACACACACACACACACACACACACATGTATGATAATGATATTATGATATTTTACGCATAATTTTCTCTTGTCACTATGTATCTACATTCACTATCCATGGATATTGATTACCGCAGGAGAATTGACTGCCAAAAGGCCAAGCCTTCACTGGATACTTTTGACAATTTGTAAAGAAATTAATCTTTACACTTGCACGACAGGCAACTTTACCTTCCAATGAGTTGCAACATACCCATTGGCACGAGGACATGAGAGGCCGTGAGTTGAGATTAGTGGAAGACCAAGTTCACAATATGATGCAATAACGCCTTCCTTTAAGTTCTTGAGCTGCTGATGATGTCAAGTAAGGCCAGCCGACTAGCAATTAACATTCTGAAGAGCTCATTTACGTGACCCTCCAACGGTGTCAACCCTTGTCCAAGATCCGAAGAATGCTTTCGTAACTCGTCCACATCCAGAGCCAACTCTTGTGCTTGCTCCTGTGACAATGGAAAGGCTCTTCCGCTCAAATATTGATCCAAAATTCCATGCAGACGACGCACAGAGGCGTCGACACTGTCAAGCTCGCGGAGCAACGCAATGGAACCTTTGTTTTTTCTTTTATCGGTGTCCTCCTTCACTCGCTGCTGCAAGGAGATTAAAGATGGTGACCATTTGTAGTGGCTTGCTACGCTTAGACTTGACAGAGGCCGCTTCGGTTTACATGTCAGAGCAGTGACCAGCAATCCGCACAAGAAAATCGTCGTCACCTTAGCTCCATAGATCGCGTTCAAGAATCCATTACCTCTAATGGCCTCTAACCCCTTCGGATTCACAAGCTTCTCTCCCATATTTCTCAACATGGAACTGCAATTCTCCAGCTTAGATTTGGGAAACCCTTGCCTGTATACTGTGTCTTTCCTATTAATAGCTTCCTTGCATTCACTCAAAGAATTCCGCGCTCGCGAATACTTAAACTCGCACGAGATTTCCCTGTTGTCAAGATTGTGCAAAGCACGCTGCACCGACATCTGGTACTGCTCTACCTCACTTATCCCTTCCTTCAGGACGTTGCAAACATCCAGAAGCTTGGCGCTGTCGTCAAGATATTCGTTTAACCATTTGTCGTCTCTCTGAAGACACAAGGTAAGTTGAGACTCTGAAATGAGAGCCTCAACGTTAATATGCGTAGCCAGAACGACAGACATAGCTTGAAGCAGCCAATGGATGCTCAAGTAGCCTTTCTCCTCACAGGCAGGCTTCAACGAGTCCAAGCTATCGCTGAGTCGGTTCTCAAATTCCTGCAACAAGGGGTGCTGCTTGGACGCCACATTGTTGGAGTTGCTGCGAAGCAGCGAGAACTGCAAGTTGAACGCCGCGCCGAGGCTTGCAAGTAACGATGATCCTTCTTTTTGCGTCATCTATCTTCTTCTAAAAAATCGAATACTTACAACTTAAATCGGCTATAGGGAGAGGTGGAAAAAAAAAAAAAAAAAGGAGCGTGAACACGCAAGCCGACTCTCTAGAGCCACTGGAAGCAGATGCAGCGAATGTGACACAACGTGTGAAATATGAAACACCAATCAGAGACACGTACGAAAAAAACACCGTTCGAAAATCAAAACAGCACGAGGGCGGAACAAAGCAACGAGCACCCGTGCGTGCAAAGCAACAGCGCTACAGAAAATCAATTGAAGCAATAATCGTTTCCCTGTAGCACAAACCTTGCCCGACAACAATCTCCCAAGACCCGCTGAAGCACGCCATGCTAACTTCACTCAACTCCTCAACTCAAAAATCCCGAGACCACGATACAAAAAATACAACGGAACGCCAATTTCAAAATCACAGCCAGCCTTCGCACTACATCGAAACCGGGGAGCTTCTCACAATTCTTCGATGCTTTACGAAAATTCCAACGAAGGCTCCACAAATCACACTGGGGGGCTCACAGAGAGCAGCATTAGTTACTCCGAGAGCAACCTTGAACCAGTTGCAAGCTCGCTCTCATCAGTCGTAGCGTAGCTATGGCAATGTGAGGGATGCTTCAAGTGAAGCGGAGCATTTGAAAGCAAGACAGACCTCCACATTTGCCCCCTTGGGAGGCCCTGACGGCGACTGTCGGCGGACACAAATCGACGGGAATTGCTTTTTTTCGTCGGGCTATCGTCTTACTTTTCAGTTACTTTTCCAGCTCGATCGCATCCACCGGAGCCTGCCACCACCCCATGACGCTTCGCTATTGGGTTCTCCTTTAAAAGCGTCCCTTGGAAATTGCGTTTACTTTAAAGTAGTATTGCCGCCAATACTTTCTGTCATCGGCTTGGATAGCTCATTGAATGAGTTCCACGTCCTTTTGATGCACCATAATTCTTTTCTTTTCTTTTTCTTTTTATTTTTCATAGATAGGATAGCAACTTCAAAATGTCTTTATCTGGAACAATTCGGACTGAGGTCTTATATAAAATTTAATATTATAATATATATATATATATATATATATATATATATCTGTTTTTTTTTTTATTGTGTAGATGAGAATGTTGAATACACCCAAATTTTTATTATATTTACCCACCCATCCAAATCATTATGAAAAGAAAATAAATGACATCTAGATTCATTTCTCCACAATTAGATTTGCAACCAATGAAAATTAACCACATTCATCATGATTATCATATTCTTTATGAAGGGTGGGTCTATTTAGTAAAAGCATGGGTCTATTTAACATTTCTCTATGTGAGTATGTGTATATATATATATATATATATATGTATATATATATAATAATGTTTTATGAACCCAACATATAGATTTTGATTTTTTTTCTTGTTACATTCTTTGAAACTATGTTGGATGCATATTTTGGATTTTTTTTTGCATTTTTGCATTTGGATTTTGAATTTGAATTTGGAATATATGTGTTGAGGTTTTAAACAATGCAAACTGATTGAGGTTGGATGAATTTGAATTTGAATTCATATATATATATATATATATATATATATTAAACAAAATACTTCATGAGTCACAAATTTATTCTTATATATATATATATATATATATATCCCTATTTAATCTTAATATGGGTAATTGAAGATATACATGTTGCCTTCTAACTCTGGTTATTCAAAGCATGTCAAGTGTACTAATAGTTGTATCACAAAACTTCCTACCTATACTTTTATATTTTAAAACAATTGAACTGTCACATTCCTTTATGTTCTTTAATTAAAATTTCATTTTCTTCAAAATTCTTTTGTGTAAAAACATTTATAAATGATTTTTAGGCTGATTGATGTTTTGGTGCTATTGTAGAACAATACAAATACTCAATGAACATAAAAGAACATTCTTTCTTATAATGATGGAATAATTAATAATTTGAATTAAGGATATCAAGTTTTAAAAGTAAATAATCAAACGTTAAATTTTTTAAAAGATATTTTAATTTTAGAAAGAGGAATACAAAAGAACCACACATATGTATGTTTGTTTTTACTAATTAAAGTATACACTATATCATTTTTTAATAATAGCAACTTCAAGATATGTTAACCAAAATGTATATTGTTAATATGGATTTGGAATGGACATGTCAGAGTCACAATTGAGATAAGAAATAACCCAAATAGCTTGTGTACGTAAGAAAAGATGTTTCCTATAAAATTATATAAAAAAATTGTATTACATTTATTTGAGTTGTTTTAGTCTTATCTATGAAAACAAATTTGCCAATTTTGGATTGCTAAGCTGGTGCATAAGTTGATTATCTTTCCAGCATATCAACTGTAAGGAAAGTTTGAAGATTTATAAACACAAGTAGTATACTTAGTATAATCGAATTTTATCATGTGTAAAATATTAAGACAAATAAATCATTTTTAAGGTTTGAAATTATATTAAAGTATTACATAATAATTTCAAAAAATAAATATACCAATAGAATGAATCTGACAGTCTTCTACTAGGCCAATTATTATATGATGATATTTTGTACAAGTTTTAGCATTTATGGGTTTCTTTGACTGTGAATAAAAAATAGATGAAGATTGACGGTTATACCAATTCATGATTTTCAGATGATAATAAAAATTGAAATCAAAATAAATCAAATAGCAATAAGTAGGTATCAGATATTAATTCATTACTCAAAAAGGATATTTCCTCATTAAAGGATTCTTTTTATTTCCATCCTGGTAAAAGAAAAATAATTCTTTGAGGCAAATTTCTACACTTTGATGGTGAGTATTAAAATTTAGTTTGATGTAGAAGTTTTAAATTTACTCCATCATTATTTCTGCACCTGTGCTGGTATTTGAGAAATCACCAATATATAAATCAAAATTAAACTAATACTGAAATAAATCATTGCAAAGAATTATTCAAATTAATCTAAAAAATGTGGTGGAAGAACCAAGATAATCTTCATGGGAACATTCAATAAAGTTTATTGAAGAAGTAAAAAAAAAATAGGTTTTATTAGGTATAAAGATCATTTGAATAAGGTTCAGATTTTTTAAAAGTTTTCTATTATGGATGGTGTTATTCGAGTTAAATTTATTATTTTCTTCTTAGACGATCAATAAGATATTTTTTGCTAATTAATCTCATGGTTCCCAAAATTTCTCGAAATCTTGAATTACTATTCTAATGCGTTTCATTTCTTTTCCACAAATATTATAGAACATTTGTCTTATTTAAATGTTACCATATTTTTTCTAAAATATTCAATACAGCTTTTTATCATTTAAAAAACATGCTTTTTTTAGAATATCAATAAAAAATAATTTAATATAAAGAATTACCTAACAGTTTGGAAATCAAGTCGAAGGAACTTTTATAAGCAACAGATCTATTACTAAATTATTTTCCCCAAATTATTGCACTTTTATATAATTATTATAATATAATGTTACTGTGAATAATTCATGTTTGCAAACTCATTTTAAAGTTATGATTGCTGAGAATATTAACAGTTTTTCAGTTTTCTCTACTATCAAAGTTCACTCATTTTTAATGAATTCAAAATGAAAATGAATTAATCTATTTTTATGATATAGTTCATTTTTAGAAATTCAAGATTACAAGTTTGTCAAGGTATGATATTTTAGGTATGCCGAGTATATATATACACACATACATTCATTGACAAAGCCTTTTTCTGTCAAAATTCCAATACATTTATAATGTGTTATTTTATTTTTCATTATTATTATTATTATTATTATTATTGGCTATTTCAGAATTCTCCATATCTTCCTACAAAAATATTAAAGATCATTGTCAATTTATCTTGCTCTCTTTTTGAAGTTTGAAAAATATTTCTTAATAATTTTGCATTGTTGTAATTTGAGGCATCTTGAGAAGTTTGCATCTGGGCTAAATTATGCAATCAATCCACGATAGAAGATTGACATGAATGTCCATAATTTTACGTTGGCAAATGTCCCAACAAAATTGTACTAAGAAAGATGACTCAGCAAATTGAATAAAATATTTCTCCTGCCATCTATCTTGTTTCTAAATTATTTTCTTCATTCAATTATTTTGTAGAAAAACAAATTGTTTCCATGTTTGTACAATGAAAAGGACATGTGAAATTTTTCATTAAAAAACTTGAGCAATCCCAAACAACTAACTAATAACTTTTTTCGTACTTTTTATTCATTTATACGTATAAAATATAAGTTGAATTTAGTCATAAAATTCGAATCAACCATGAATTCAAAATATAAAACAAAATCATTTTGTTATTATAGATTTCATTTTAAAAACAAAATCAAGATTAAAACTAAATCATCATCTTCTACCAAAAAAAAAAAACTAAATAGTGAAAATATCTATATATAAATATAAATTATATTTATTTGTTTATTTCTTTTACTTCATTTTCTGGTAAGAAATTAATCATAGAATGTTCCTAAAAGCGTTGATTGTCAGAAATCTATAAAAACAAACGTCTTGTAACCAGGGTGTGCAAATGATGCGATGAACGAACGTCGTGGACGAATGTGGAGGGACAGACGGATGAAAACAGTGGATGGGGGTCGTGTCGCCTTCGTCGACCCCTGGCAAATTTGACGGCCAGAAACGGCCCTGGAAGAACCACGTGGCGCACGTGGGAGACTCCACCTGACCCCTCCACCCCGGATTCCGTCATATCTCATGACGTAAATATGACGTAAACATGACGTCATAGATACTGGACCCGTTGGTCATCACCATGCATTCAGGAAGTGGCTTCTAAGATGGACGCCTACGTGGCAGTTGGATGAGGAAAATATGCCGCCACGTTGGTGGCCCTAACATTGAGATTCTCCATCCATTGGACTATGTTCCTTTTCCTTTAAAGCTTTCCAACGTGTGTATGCTTTTTTACTTTTTGACATTCCTCCATAGTGTTGAAAATAACAGAGTTCCTTTTACTTTAAAGTTTTGAAATAAGCATAGTTTTTGGGTTGGTTGGGTTTGAAGTTGAAATATGTCATTCATTTTTATGTTTGTTTTTCTTCTGGAAGTTTTACTCGGTTCTATACTTTTTATATCTTAAAGTTTGGATTTGTGTAAATTTTTATGCATACAAAAACAACTTAGCATTTTTTTAATTGATTAACTTTTCTTGATGCTTTTTTCCAGATTTTAAAATTCACTTTCAATTGGTCATATTTGGACGAAAAAGAAACAATTAATTATTTTGATATTGTAATTTTCAATGTAAAGGAGAAAAAATTGTAGTTAGGATGTAGACCTTGAGTTATATTTACAATAAGTTTTGTGTACTTTGAAGAGAATTTTGAGAAATCCACACGAAAACATACTGTGGGTGGACTCCAAGATAATGATGTTTCTATAATTTTTAATACACATGAGATCTTTTAGTTTGAGTTTTTTTCAATCCGATTATTTATGAAACTCATCAATAAATTATTTCCTGAATGGTGTGATTTCAATTAACATTTAAAATTTTAAAAAGTATAAAAAACTATATATATTCATGTAAGATGAAATTCAAAATTTCTTATGTATAATTTGTAAGATGTCAAATGATGTAGTAAAAGTTAAGATATTTTATCTTTTTGAAGACATCACTAAATATATACCAATGTTAAATATTTGTTTTATTCATTTTAGTTTTAAATTGCCTTCTTCATTACAACTTCTCAAATATTTTCTCGATATATTCAAAAGAAAATAAATATATCATAAAAACTACTTAATGCATCACAAACAGTTTTAAAACAAATAATTTTTTGTCCTAGAAAATGATTAAAATAGTGAGAGTGTATATATACGTATAAACAAATCTGTTTGCATATGCAGTTGTTAAAAAGAAGTTGCAATCTTTCTTAGTCTACTTTGTTATTTATTTTGTTTTATTACTATTTTTTTTCTATATAGATGAATTTGAAAGCATATTCTTCAAAAAGATTGTGTAATAAAAATGTAGTTTTGAAATAAGATTGCATTCAATTGAATATATACTATAATATTTCAACAAATTAGTAGTTTTTTTAATATAAAAATTTAATTTTTTAAGTTACTATTTACATAAGTTACTTAATTACACATGAATCATATTAATGATAGTTTAAAAACATAAGGTTATAAATCATTCAAATTTTAAACATTTCTATGCAACCATTTAATTTGTAAAGAAATTTTTTTGTTGGAATAATGTTTGAGATACTTGAAACCCCCCCAGATTTTAATGATAACATTGGTAATTCAACTAAAAAAAATAAGGAATATATATATATATATATATATATATATATATATATTGATGAAAACAGAATGATTTATGTAATAGTAATAATAAAAAATTTACACACATACATATATGTATTTTGAATTTTTTGATTTTTGATTTTTGATTTTTTTGATTTTTGATTTTTGATTTTTTGTTTTTTGTTTTTTGTTTTTTTTGATTTTTTGATTTTTTGTTTTTTGATTTTTTTTTCTTAAAAATATCAGTTCTATAGAATGTGCTTGCTCTCCAGTCTTGTTCGAAGAAATTCATATTTTTATTGTCACGCAAGCACAGAATATTCTAAAGGCGTATGTAAAATTGTTAGTGACCTTTCAAGATATTTCTTCACACAAAGATGCACTCTAGATATATCTGGTGATGATATTTTTCAGAAAATTAATTTTTGATCTGAAAACTTTTTCAAAAGCGCTCAATGATAAAAAAGAAAAGAAAGGTACGGGATTTTTATGGTCGTTCAAAAACCTTTAGAGCTTTTTAGCCGGTTCAAGTAGAAACAATATTCTGATATGCCTTTTGAGTCTTGAAACTGCCAAATTTATTCATGCTTTGGTACAGTTTCCATTAGATCATTAGCATGTTTGTGTATTAACTTGTATGTTTTAAAAGGCTTAGTCTTAATTTGAATTTTTTAATATACTTTTCTTTAAAAATACATAAAACTCTCAGGAACTGAATATATAAATGAAGACTTTGTATACATAATGCATATATTCAGTTCCTGAGAAAGTTGGGATGAAATTCAATCCACAACAAAAGAATAAAAGTAAAGTTGTGTATAATCAGCACCCATCAAATTAACCCACATTCCAAGCAGTTGTTGCCAAATGTTTTAACTTCATCCCAAATCAAAACACAGAAGGAAAAATAAGAAAAAGAAAAAGATGAAAATATTACAACCAGGGACACGCCGATATCTGCAAGAAACTCAACTTAAACTACAAAAAGAAAAAGACACGAAAGAAAAAAGAAACCCTCGTTGGACCGACGAGCATTTCCGTTGTCGGCGAAAGCGACGGCCATTGTGAATCTGTCCGAACTGGGCGGGTCGCAAAGATTCGCAGCTCATACCGACACCATGCACAGTCACTCGCAGAGCGAATCGATGCCGTGCTGCGAAGACGAGGTCGGCAATTGTGGGAAGAGGATGAGGGTTAGCAGTCGCGAGGATGCAATCTCGAATATTGGATTTGGGTGGAATTAGCAAAGGTTTTCGAGGACACGGGAGCGCATGCGAAAACCGTCTGGATGAACCTCTCCTCCTCTCATGCTCGGAACCCTCGTCTGGATTGGGAATTGCACATCTGCATGATCGATTGCGTCGGACACGAAAGCCTCGCTGCCCATTATCATGTTTTTGGAGGTTTTCAGGGTGGGCTCTTGCGATGGGGTTGGATTCCGAGCTCGGGTTCTTGATGTGGGTGGATTACCAGCGGCTGCGGCATTTCATGGAGCATTTATATGCTTTGGAAGATAAAGATGCGCAGGTGGGTTTTGTGTAGAATCAACACACACACACACATGTTTTATCACACGTGTGTCTAGGGATGAGGAGCGTAAATTTTGCTGTTGATTGGCGTGTAGGGGTTGTGACTGACTACCTCTTGGGTTTCAATGGACACTACTAGTTCAAGGCCTTACTTCCTTCCTCCATGAACCTAGTACAAGTTCTTTGTCCTTGCACCTTTATGAATCTGGCTTACCTTGTTTGTTTCTTAGTCCCTGTAGTTCTTTATCATTCTTCAAAAACCGCGATTGTGTTCACTTGTCAATGGACTGCCTTTATCACCTCCACTTCATGTAGAGCCTCCCCGTTATGACATCCTTACTTGTATGAATCAGCTTCCTTGTTTGTTGTGCTTTGAGTTGTTTATCGAAGCAGAGGCAGAATGAGCATTGAGAATCGTCAATGGCTGTTGAATGTACACCCTCCGTTCTGAACGTATGGAGTCGGTATTTGTTTTTGTTTATTAGAAATCGATCGTGTGAAGTAACAGTTTGTTATGATACTCTTATTCTTCGAAGTTTTGTCCCTAATCAGAATCACAGGGTTATCGTGGTAGTGTGTCTTGACTAATCACGAGCTTATTGACAGTCTCTGTCAGTCTCTTTTCTTTTCCTTTCAGTTCTCTTTCCATATTCAGTGGGAAGATTCAGTCACTGCATTCAACAGTTTGGACTATCTGCTGTTTGTCAATATGATGAAGCTTGTTCGGCCAGAATTTTTGTACAGTTCTTACTTCTTCATGGATTTGGAGTTAATACCTGACTTGATTGTATGCAGCTATGAAACATATTCTTTTTTCTAATGGAAACTATCTTCCCATGAAGGATTTTCTTGCAAGGAAGGTGGAAATTGTGTGCCTACTCTGTTGACTGAAGCGAACCAAAGTAATGAGAAATGTGAGTGGAGAGATGGAGGAGTCCGTCACGGACACGAATCAGAAAGATGGGAAAACTAACAGGCTGGAGATTGACCGGGATGGCCTTCAAATGCTACGATTGGCACACGAGGGTGACAAGGCATTGCTCAGAGGCCTTACGTTACATGGATCCGAAGAATCGAAATACCAGCAGGCAGTTGCTGATAAGTCCCCACTCACGGAGAGTGGTCATTTCAAGCACGAAGTTAAGTGTTTCCAGATTTCCAAGCCGTTGATCAGAGTGGATCACTCTGACATCAGTCACGATGATAGAACCTTGGAGGAGCAAATGACGAATGGTGCCGAGTTTGATCAAAGTTCAATATTTCAGAATACATGCAAGTCAGATGCTGCGATTAGGAGAAGTGAGGAGCTCAAGGATGTGGAAGGAGTGTGTGTGGAGCGGAAACCGGCACTTGTGAAGAAGGAAGCCTCCGAGATGAGTGACTTAACAGAGCGGCAGCAGACAATTCCTGATGATTTTCATGTCAAGTTTGTCCTTGATGGAGTTGATATGGAAGAAGATGACGAGGTGAGGGCTAGGAAGCATTTCGAATTTGTGGAGTTGAAGAAACGACTAGAGGAGGAGGAGATTATGTACGCGGGTTGCGCATTGGGGGAAGCATCTAATATCGACGCAACTGAGAAGGACCAGATTGAAGCCGATCAAGTGAGGGCCACCATGGATGGTGTGATCAACAGTCTTGCAGGGATAGCAATTTGCAAGCCAGACTCAAGCCTACGAGTTGATAAGAAGCCTCTTTCTAAATCCTTGAATATCAACAATGGAATGACAGATCTGGCTGAAGATAAATTTACGGGGCCTCAAGCGTATACGAATCGTGAGGGGAGCGGAGGGTGTCTGGTGAGACTCAGAAATGCTTCTTCGTTTGTACTCTGAAGAATTTTACGATCTGTGTTCTCTGAATAGGATCTAGTTGGTCGTCATTGTAACTTATTCAATTTAAGCAGGGTTTAGTGCATATGAATCATATTCTTATCTAGTTTGCTCATATCATCTGTGTTTAGGTCGTCCAGGGATGTTCAGAAGCGAATCATCTGCGGAGGTGATTTATGTAAAAGGATCTCCTACTCTATTGTAGAATTTCCTACTCACTTCATATCTTTGTTTCTGCTGGATGCAGTGTTGCCGAAAAGCAGTGAAACAGATAGACGAGGGGAATGCAAGTGATGTGTACATGACAAACTCCTTCTATTCATCGCTAAATATTGTCTGCCCAATCTGCGGGATTCCAGTGGTTGATCTCGTAGACCCAGTTCGAAGGTTGCAACTTTTTTCCAATTCACGTCAAGTTTTCTTGGTTTTGTAATTTACCTTCCTCCTAATTATTGGTGAGAAAGTGAGTCCATCAACCTAAAACTATTCCTCAGTATAGAATTTTTGGGGAGGATCCGAGAATGAGACAATTTGGATGCTTTTTTTTTTATTGATGTTGATTCAGTGAAGATTGTGAACACATCTACGACCGAGCTGCAGCTCTCAACTACATTGCAACAAAGAGGAAAGATGACGTTTGCCTCTGCGCAGCTTCAGGTCCACAAACAAATTTTGCAACAACTTGTGTGTGTTTGTGTGTGTGACGAGGCTGAGAAGGATCATTCTCTCAACCTGGTTGTTTTTCAATTCGGTCACAAGCTTCAGACATAGTTTAATTTACTCTATTAAAACGCCATTTTGGTGGCTTGCAGGCTGCCGCGCGTCGTTGGCCGAGAACAAGCTGGTTAACGATAGCCGCTTGTGGCAAGACATTGCAGAGCTCCGCCAGATCAAGGCAGCCATGTTGGAAAGTCGCATGTTGCAGGACTTCGCGAACATTGATGACAGTGATGATGACTGAGAGCCAGCAATGGCAACTTTGCGAGTAGGGTCGATAACACTCTTGCTGTTAATCTCTGACAACGCAGAATTCTACTGCCAGAATTTGATCCTCTCTTCCTCCTAAAGGATCCGCATCAATTTTAGAAACCCCCCTGCTCAAATCCTAACAGTAAATGTGCCAGGGTCATTGCAAGTACTCCAGAGCTTCACTTTAACTCATTTCGTGCTGGACTTGTGAAGAATACAACAGCTAATGAACTTGAGATTCAGCTTCTAGGTTGACAAGCTAAAAAAAGTAATTACAGTTAACTTTTAAGCTGAGCACTATGTACATTTTGTATCAGTAATTGAATTAACTGGAGAGTTCAGGAGCTTTACTAATTGGCAAGATAAAATACCCTGAGGCGTAAAAGTCTAGGTATGGGTGTTTGAGAAGTCAATGTGGGGTGTTGTATCGAATGTTCTCAGCAGGTTGAGCATCTCCGCTACTGCGATTGTTGTCACAGACGAAACTATTCATGTGTATTCCATCCAAATAATACAAGGTGACCTCATGGTATTCAGGGGCAAGCAAGGAAATTGCATTAATAATTCTGAGCACCATCTTTCGTTACGAAGTCCGACCCCTCCATTTTTGTGAATTTTCACATAGTAACTCCCTGATTCCTCGCACTATTGTAACACGTACATAACGGCATGTAGCCTCGTCCTCTGTGGAAGCCAAATCTGATCACTGACACCAGCTTATCCCCAATTGTAAATCCTCGACCGACTATTCTAAAAACCACCCCAACTCACTTTCCATCCAGAAGTTGGATACACAGAATTTTCACCTCATTCGAAACATAAAAGCAACATTAAAAAAACAGAACAAAAATGTGGCCAGAATACGTGTGTTTATATTCTACACATTCTAATGATCCACTGAAAACAGACTTCAAGCAAAGCAGATATCCTTCCCGAAGCAAGCTTTCCACGCACAACTGATGCACATTCCTTAGAATATGTACCCCAATCCTTCCGAATATCCCTTCAATTCAGCAATTTCCTGCACGAAAAATGTGTGTGTGTAAAGATATCTGTGCACACATACACATCCAGTTTTTTTTATGAATGAAAACATGGTTGTTATTGGAGTGTGTGAGAAGTTGGAAATATCTTGAATTGTATAAGGAAATATGGAAGATTTAGCTTGATGAAGTGGAGAAGATGGTAGAGCGGATAGAGTGAGATGGTTAGGAGAGAAGTGGAGGCGGAGCGGAAGCGATGGGGGCGACACGATTGCGAATAGGTTTAGATTAGCAACGCTCTAGTCTTCTCTTAATGTAATATTAGCAGCTGGTTATAAATATCTAGTTTACAGGACTAGGTCTCGACTACACCCCTGCCTCATACAACCAACGTGCAATGACCATTTTTGTGTGAATGTGAGGCACCAATGACAATAGCTAAGGGTGCTGCTCCCCTGATGGCTGAGCAACGCCCCTATACTAGATCACACTTCGCCAATCCAAAATAAGCGAGAGCATACTTTTTCGATCGATATGGAGGAGAATGTAGTAGTATCGGCCAGACGCCCATGCAACCTGCTCCTCAAAATCCAAGGATTAGGGACAATGCAGCCCAGTCGACATGCAATACTGACATATAAAGGTGACGTTTTCTGATGAGGAACTTTTCATTATTATGCGATTCGTGAACAGACACTGCAGCTCTGCCCGTGGAATTTATCCATGGCAAAAGTCCAGGGCAAGCCACATTGAAAGAGTGGGCTTTCTCAACCTTATACAATTGGATTTGGTCTTGTTCCCTAATTGGGAGATGATTATTTGAAATCACTTTTACCTTCCTAGAGGGGTACAACAAGCCCTCTCATTGGCTTATAGATTTGATAGAAGGGGTACAACAAGCCTTCTCATTGGCTTATAGATTTGATAGAAGGGGTACAACAAGCCTTCTCATTGGCTTATAGATTTGAGAGAAGAGAGAATTTCTTTACCACATGAAGCCTACACTTTTTGGCAACCAATGTGCAAACTTACAAATTCGTAACCTACTTGGTATGGATTCAACTCTTAGGATTAAGCCAATATCTTAGATACAAACAATGTCTAAAGATTACGGCATCAATTATTGTTTGTTGTGGAAGGATCCTCATACACATGCAAGACCATAGGCCTTAGGATTAAGATACTTATAAATAATATCACCAAAGTATTGGATATGATTAGTCTTTTAGGTCCGACTCCAAATACACCTCTCTACTACAAAGTTACAGTGTTTGGTCATTCAAATCAATGCACAAAGTAAAAGACTTAGACTATGTATCTATATAATGAAAAAGGCTCTATCTATAACAAACAACACAAAGAAACATAAGACATTGACATTGACTTAGACCACCATAGAACCAATCAATATATGGCCAATTTGGACATCAACAAGCCAATCAATAAATTAGAGAGAGGTATAACAACCAAATATATAATCTTCATCACATTCCAATAATATACAAAATCCCCCTATTATCTCTCCTCTCCTTTCATATAACGGATCAACTATTATCTATAAAATAGAATCAAGCTAACTCATTATTTGGCCCCTCACCAAATAAATCCTATACTAGATTTGAGGCAGTTGCTACAATACCACAATCTCCTAATCTTAAGTCAATAATTAGATAAGATAGAATCTCACTACCACTAGAGAATATAGTATTTAGTGCTATGTATCAAAGATATGAATCTCAAAGAAAGAGAAACTCAATACATTCTTGTGTCATTCAAAAAGTTTAAGAAATCACTTCAAGATGGTAATATATTAAACTAGAATGGTTATTATCAAAGACAAGAAGATTAGAAAGTCTTCAAACAAGACTAAGAATTAAAAAGGCATTGACAAGAGTAAAAAAGGCTTCACTCTTGCCTCCATATATACTTTCTAACTAGGAGCTAAATGACAATATGCTATAAAACCTCCAACAAGTGTTGACTTTGCTAAATACATGTCTTAACTTGCAAAGCAAGTTATTTGTATGTGGACCATATAGTTAACTTGTTCCATAAGCTACTAACATATGTAATATGTGGATAATTTGTTGATTAAATTTCTAGCTTATCAATTAATTACAAATACATATAAAATTAAAGTAGTATCTACAAAGCTTTTAAGAAACTTTTCTAAAAGATATTATGAAATTAATATACTTTTATCTACTTTTATTTAATCATATAGGTAATTATTAGAATATATATATATATATATATATATATATGTGATATAATATTCCTTTCTAGAAACAAATTTGATGAAAAGCAGTCATCATCTTTTATGGATCTTGTTTTTCTTCATCTTTGTTTTGATGAATATTGATGAAAAGCGTCAATTCTCTTCATTATATTTGTAAGATTTTTTGTTGGCACTCATGTGTATTTTTTAATATCATATCTGTACTAATCAACAAAATATTCCAATCTATTTAGATACAACCTTGAATCTAAGACTTCTTCTACCTCAAATTCTTAATTATTATTTACTTCTATAAGAAGAGGTGGCATTTTTCTTCTTCTCAAGATATTCACTATCTTATATGATTCAAGAAGAAATATGTCAAATACATGGTTGATCTTTATAGATCTAAGAAGGTGTAATTGATAAACAACATGATTGACTTATTTAAAAATAAAAAAGATTCAAGCCTATAATAGTCTAATTTGTCATAAGAATAAGTAGTTTTGATATTGCAACAAACTTATTATATCTTATTATCCATATTAAATTTTAATTATTCCTTGTGATAGGCATTTACATTAATCTTTTGTCATTCTTAAAATTCTTTTAATTATGCCTTCATTGTTGTATATAGCTCTGACAGACAATTCACCAAATCTTTTACAACAAGATTACCATTTTTTGAAAAGTCAAAAGTATCAAGTCATAGATGATAATCATAATTAATATAAAAATATTCATTGAATAGAAAAATGCATCAAATCATTGTATGCAAACTCTAATGATGACAAAAGAGTTGTCCAATCATCTTTATGATAGTTGATGGTACATCTCAAATACAACTCTAGAACTTGATTTACATGTTCCGTTTGCTCATCAGTTTGCAAATAAAAAGTCAAAGAGAGCTTTGTATCTACTTTTAAAATTTTAAAAAATATTCTTTAAAATATTAATACAAATTAATTTCTCCTATCTAATATATATCCTTGAGTAATCTATGCTAGCAAAAAATATTGTCAAAAAAAGCTTAGCCATTTTTTTACTTATGATAGATTTTATACATTGTATAAAATATGCCATCTTGGAAAAATGATCTATTATTACAAATATAGAATTATACTAACTTGAGATTGAAAGATCCATGATAAAATTTATAGAAATAAAAGACCATGGTTGTTTTAGAATATGTAATGGTTGAAGAACTTCACAAGATTGATGACAAGGAGTTTTGGATTTTGAACAAATATTACATGATTGTACAAGGTCTTTGACTATCTTTTATATTTGACATCACCAAAACTCTTTAGATCTTAGCTCCAAAGTCTTATTGTATCCAAAATGTTTTGCTATTAAAAAATCATGACAAGCTTGAAGAACATATAATCATGCTTTGCCTTTTAGAATATATAATTTTCTCTTGAAATAGAGTAGATTATTCTTGAACTTAAACTTAGAAGTACCAAGAGACTCAAAAGAATTATTTTTAATATCATGAATAAGAAGATCAAAGCTCATACTTGATTGAACTTGCTTGAGAAAAGTTGAATCAATAGTCATTGTTGATTATATTGCTTAAAGGTGAAAATGATCTGATTTCAAAAAATCATTCTTTTTTGATGAAAAGAAATAGATAAAAATTTGATAAAAATTTCTAAAAAATAAGATAAAAATTTCTAAAAAAGGTGTTTAATAAACCTTATTATTTTTTGAGTCAATAAATGATCTTGAAATCAAATCTTCATAAAGACATGTTCCAACAAACTTGGTAATCATTCAAAACTCATATCAACATGAAATACTTGAGGTTCTTGTGATCCATATAAATAATGATAGGACTGAAGGTGCCTTCTAAATAATGACATCATTCTTAAAATGAATCTATTATTGCAAGAAGTTCTTTGTTGTAGATTTAATAATTAATCTCGACTATTGAAAATTTCTTGGAATATAAAGGTATTAAGTGGAGCTTGTTATCTACTTCTATTTATGACAAAACGATACCTATAGCAAAGTGTGATGCATCTGTTTTCATGAAGAATGCCTTGAAAAAAACAATGCAATAAAAAATTGGTATAGAAATAAATTTTGTCTTAAAGGCTTTAAAAGATGCATTGACTTCTTTATTCTACTTAAGTTTGTATTTATATGTTAAACATGTAAGAAG